ACTTCAGCTCCGGTCATGATCTCTCATCTCATGATCTCACTGCTCATGAGTTTGAACCCTGCACTGGGTTCTGTGCTGACAGCTCAGAGCCTGGAGCTGCTTCAGATTCTGCGTCTCCCTCCCCCACTCTCCCACTCATGCTGTGTCTCTCCTTGTCTCTCAAAAATAAATGTTAAAAAATAATTTTAAAAAAGAAGATATAAAGAAAAATGTCTCCAAAAAAGAATTTTGGAATGGATTTTATTCAGCAAATCATATGAGTAAGAGCCTGAAAGAACGTACTGATATGGCAAAGAACCGTATATTTTTTTCTCTCAACAAAACTTAAGTAGAAGCAACTTTGGAATCCCTGAGAAACATTTTAGAAACCTACAAAAAAAAAAAAAAATCACGGGACAAATAGGAAGGATCTTTTTTCAAGTGGCGAAGATTTGATTTGGTATACGTATGTTTCTTTATTGTTCCAATCCTACTGGCTCATGTTAAATAATATTACATGTACCACTCACAAAAATGAACTCGAAATGGATTAAAGACTTAAAGGTAAGACCTAAAATCATCGTAACACCTAGAAGAAAATATAGGGGAACACCTGCTTAACATTGGTCTGGGCAATGATTTTTTTGGATATGACATCAAAAGTACAAGCAACGAAAGCAAAGACAAGTGAGACTACATCAAAGTAAAAAGCTTTTACGCAGCAAAAGAAGCAATCAGCAAAATGCAAAGGGAACCTATGGAATGGAAGAAAATATTTGCAAACCATAAATATGGTAAGGGTTTAATATCCCAAAATATGTAAGGAACTCATACAACTCAACAGCAACAAAAATTAAAAATAAATCCAATTTAAAAGTGGGCAGGGGCGCCTGGGTGGCTTAGTCGGTTAAGCGTCCAACTTTCACTTAGGTCATGATCTCGCGGTTCGTGGGTTCGAGCCCCGCGTCGGGCTCTGTGCTGACTGCCAGCTCAGAGCCTGGAGCCTGTTTCAGTCTGTGTCTCCCTCTCTCTCTGACCCTCCCCTGCTCACGCTGTCTCTCTCTCTCCTAGAAATAAATAAAAAATATTAAAAAAAAAAAAAGTGGGCAAAGGGGGCATCTGGCTGGCTCAGTTGGAAGAGCATGTAATTCAGTTGGAAGAGCATGCAATTCTTGATCCCAGGGTTGTGAGTTCAAGTTCCACATTGGGTGTAGAGATTACTTTAAAATAAATAAATAAAAACTTTAAATAAATAAATAAATAAATATTAAAAAGTGGGCAAAGGACTTGAATAGACATTTTTTCCAAAGAAGATATACAAATGGCCAACAGGTTCATTAAAAGGTGCTCACTAATCATCACTAATCACCTCAAACCCGTTAGGATGGCTGTTATCAAAAAGATGAAAAATAATAAATACTGGTGAGGATGTTGAGAAAAAGGAACACTTGCACACTGTTAGTGGGAATGTAAATTGGTTCAATCACTATGGAAAATAGTATGGAGGTTCCTCAAAAACTTAAAAATAGAAATACCATATGATCCCGCAATTCCCCTCTTGGGTACGTATCCAGAGGAAATGAAGTCACTATCTTGAAGAGATATATTGAAGAAATATTCCCATGTTCACTGCAGCACTATTCACAATAGCCAAGATATAGAAACAACCCGAGTATGCATTGGTGGATGAATGGATAAAGAAACTGTAGTATATATATGCAGTGAAATGTTATTCAGTCATGAAAAGGAAGGAAATCCTGCTATTTGTGTGCCTTTTGACAACATGAATGGACCTTAGGGGCATTATGCTATGTGAAATAAGTCAGAGAGATGAATACTATATGATCTCACTTATACATGAAATCTTAAAAAAACTGAACTCATAGAAACAGAGAGTAAATTGGTGGTTACCAGAACCACGGTTTAGGGGGGGATATGGATGAACGTGGTCAAATGGCACAAACTTCCAGTTATATGATGTGTAAATTTTGGAGCTGTAATGTACAGCATGGTGACTATTGTTAACAACACTGTATTACATACTTGAAAGTTGCTAAGGAGGTAAATCTGAAACACTCTCACTAAAAAAAAAAAAGAGAGAAAAAGAAAAAGAAAGGAAATTATGTGAGGTGATGGATGGGCTAACAAACCTTATTGTTGGGGGGCGCCTGGGTGGCTCAGTTAAACATACAACTTCGGCTCAGGTCATGATCTCACAGTTTGTAAGTTCGAGCCCCATGTCGGGCTCTGTGCTGACAGCTCAGAGCCTGGAGCTGCTTCAGATTCCGTGTCTCCCTCTCTCTCTGCCCCTGCCCCACTCATGCTGTCTCTCTCTCTGTCTCAAAAAAATGAATAAACTAAAAAAAATTTTTTTTTAAAAAGAAACATCCCCCCTCAAAATTTAGTGGCCTAAAGACCAATATACAGAATGTCTATGAACAGATTGGTTGAGTGGTTCTGACTTAGGTTTCTCTTGAGGTTGAGGTGGAGAAGTTGGCTTCAATCTGCGGTCAGATCAAGGCCTGATGAAGGCCCGATGATCAGCTTTCAAGATGGCTCATTCACATAGCTTGCAAAATTGGTGCTGACTTTTGTCAGGAAGTCTCAGCTCTTTGCCACATGCTCTTCTACTTAGGGCTGCTTGCATGCCCTCATGACAGGATAACTGACTTCCCCCAGAGTAAATGATCCAAAAGACAGTAAGGCATAAGTTGCAACATCTACTCTGACCTAATCTTGGGAGTCACACACCATCTTTTCGGCAGCATGCTTTTGGTTACACAGGTCAACCCTATTCAATGTGAGAGAGTCCATGAATACAAGGAGGTGAGAACCACGAAAAGCAAGAAATGGCTGGTTCTACAGAGTATGAATAGATTCTTTCTAAGGTTGTTGAAATAAAGATGTTTGAGTATATTATTTAAAGTAACTGCCTCCAAAAGAACACGAAATAATATAACTAACAAACTCAAGGGAAGAGGTGGGGATGGGGAGAAGGTGGGAGTCATCTGCCCCATGAGGACATTGATTAATATAGCCTAACGTCGATACATCAAGAAACAGAGAAGAGGTGCCTGGGTGACTCAGGCAGTTGAGCCCCTCAGACCCTTGATTTCAGCTTAGGTAATGATCCCACGCATGGAGCTGACAGCATGGAGCCTGCTTGGGATTCTCTCTCTCTCTCTCTCTCTCTCTCAAAAATAAACATTTTAAAAAATGGAGAAATATGAGTACTATTTACTCTGATGATAGCCATCTTTAGAATTAAAAATAGGGGCATCTGGGTGGCTCAGTTGGTTGGGTGTCCGACTTCAGCCGAGGCTGTAGTCTCACAGCTCTTGAGTTGTCAGTCTGTGCTGACAGCTCAGAGCCTGGAGCTGCTTCGGATTCTGTGTCTCCCTCTCTCTCTGCCCCTCCCCTGCCCACGCTGTCTCTCTCTGTCTCTCAGAAATAAGTAAAACATTAAAAAATTTTAAAAAAAATAGCATAGAAGATTTTCACTTATTTAAAACAATTTGATACCAATCTATTTCTTAAAACTATGTGTACGTTTATTTAATAATAGTGACTTACAAAGTATAATTTTATCTTCAGAACATATGCATGGTTTTCTATGCTGCACATGCTGGGATTAACCCAGAAACCGTATGCTGAGGTTCAAGAATCTTAAAATACGTTCACTGCCCCATAGCTAAGTGGTTACACTGACATACGCTTAATACAGCTTTTAATACTGTCAAACAAAGCATTGTGCAAACAGTAAACTTGTTTGGACTTTTTGACGTCCTAGGGTAAAACAACTCTTACTAGGATTTTAGAAGTTAAGAATTTGCCTACTTTCCACAAATTCACACACACTTTAAGAAACATCCTTTTCCATGTTTCACAAGTCCTAAGATGCAGTTGAAAATAAAAACTTTTAGTGAAAGATTAGATTCTTAAGCTTGTGGTGCTAGGGGCTATTGACCATTTTAGGGCCTGAATAAGAAGCTTCCAGAAATAGAAACTAGTTGATTGCAGAAAACCAATGAAAGTATATCACCCAATAGAAATTTCTCTGTCAAACAGATCTTTAACTAAAATTAACCTGGTGAGTTAATTTCTTGGGTGAGAGAAGAGTGAACAGGATAATAGAGCAGCCGGCTTACTGGACCTCACTCCACAGAGAACACCCTGGCACTGACATGGAGGTGTAATAGGGAGGCAGTTGCTTTCTCTTCTTTTCTTTTTTAATGTTTTATTTATTTCTGAGAGAAAGAGACAGTGTGAGCAGGGGAGGGTCTCAGAGAGAGGGGGATACAGAATCTGAAGCAGCAATGCTAGCTGTCAGCACAGAGCCCGACGCGGGGCTCAAACCCATGAACTGTGAGATCATGACCTGAGCTGAAGTTGGACGCTTAACCTACTGAGCCACCCAGGTGCCCCGAGGCAGTTGCTTTCAAAATTTAGGGTGGGAAAGTAGACACCTGGGAAATATTTTTCATACAATATTTGACCCAATATGGAAAGCAGGAATTACCCAAGCTGCCACAAAGTGTCAGACAAAACAAAAGAAAACTGAGTTAGCCTAAGAAGTCTGTTAGGGCCCTGGGATCAATCTGGCATTAAGTCCCAAACAGAGTTAACACCATCTAGAGAACGGTTGCTTTCACTCAGGCTTCTTTATGGATTGTAAGCCGGTCACATTCCACTCGTTTCATGAGCATCATCTACAAGCCACACTAAAAATTAATTAGCAAAACAGATTCATCACTGCAATTATAGGACACAGAGAGTCTAGAGTCGGGAATGTAATGTTTGCCATAGAACTATCTGGCTAGAAAGGCCAGAAAGACCGGACTGCCTGCCCATAATGGGACGATTAATCAAAGTTCCCTAAGCAACTCTTCCATGGTAAGCCCACAATAAAAGAGGAGCTGCAAGGCATCGTCACAGTAGAACACAGCTCCGAACAACGTGGTAAAACTGTAGAAACAAGGGCAGAGAGGCCAATCCGATACATCAATCAGAAACAGAGCAGCTAATTTTAAACACATGAAAATTTTATAGGCTAAGAGCTTCAACTGCAGACATTGACAGGGCCTTAAAATCTCACACGTTATTCCAAACTAAAGGACACAGTTAGACACAAATTGAGGCAGCTGCCAGCGATCCCCAGGGTCGCATCTGCCCTTCCTGGCTCTCTAACAGCTCTGGCCGCCCGCTGGCCCCAGAGGTAGCACGGGGCTGGCCTACAAACGTAGTTCGTCTCCCAGCCCGGCCACGATGCTGCTCCAGCGTTGGACACTGGCCCATCCTGTAGCTGGGATGCAGACTCCATATTGCCTCTCAGAGAGGCATGGGGAGGGTTCTCGAGTGGCTTGAGCTTTGTTCCCTGCCGTTCAGGGAAAGCACTTCCGTGGCGGTCTGCAGAGGCAAAAATGAAGTCAGCGTGTACGCAGGTTCCAGTGACATCCAAATCCCCAGACACAGCCGGCCCTGCGGCTGACTCTATTTCTCCCCTATGTCTTCATATAGGTGTCTATATGAACCAACGCATTCTTTTAGCTTTAATTAAAGTTGGGTTTTTGTCACTTGAATTACTGTCTATCATCTGAGTAAATAGCTTATTGAAGAAACACCGCTCTTTAGGGGAATAAATGTAAAACATTTTTTTTAATCACTGCCCGAAGCTATACCACTTTTAGTCTCCCTCTCTCATCTTTTAAAGATACGCACAAATTAAATTCCTTTCAGTTTTTGTGTGAGTCAGCAGACTTTTTTTTTTTTAAAAGAACCAGATAGTAAATAGTTTAGGCTTTGTGGGTCACATGTGATCTCTGTTACATATTCTTGTTTATTTTGGAATCCTTTTTAAAAAATATGTCAAAACCATGGACTGGGGTTGGATTTGACCCATGAATTATTGAAAACAGTTCAGTTTTGAGCTTCAGTCTCACTGTCAGGAGGCACATGCCTACTGAGTGTGCTGGGCGGCCAGGGTGCGCCCTCTGACACCAAGCAAATTCTGGAACTGCTCACACAGACAACTAAGGAAGTCGAGGTAGTCCAGCGTGACTACCACAGCCAGCAGCAGGGTGGGGCGAGCAAGGTGTCCAGGACACACAAGCCAAGGAGCTTCTCATGCTTAGGTGCTAATGCTGCACTGTACAAACCTAGGACTGTGTGCTTCCCTGAACTTTGCACCCTGGACGCCATCCCTTGTCTCGTCCTTCTCCCAGCGTAGACGACCACTAACTGCTCACTCTTAAATAAAAGAGGGAACTGGCTCGCTTACTCGTTTCTACGTTTGCTGTTTGCTCAGAAAGCACTGGGCTCTTGTTCCTGGCTTCTCCTGGAGCATAACTCACTTCGTATGTTCATATCATCTCAGCCCACGAATCACTCCTACCCTCAACGGGACTTTGGGGCAAGGCAAACCAGCCAAAATGCTGAGGCTCATGCTCTTATGGTGTGGTGAGTAACATATGCGATTTTTTCTGACCCAGGAGTCTAATGTCTTCTGCCATCGGACATGGAGGCTAACTTGTTAGCTCGCAAGGTAAAGCCAGACCCTCCAATAGTTCTTGACATTCACATGTGATGCAGAGCCCCGTTTCTGCGCCCCTGCCCCGAGACCCAGCTCCGTCATGGCCGGATGCAGAGCCCCGTTTCTGCGCCCCTGCCCCGAGACCCAGCTCCCTCATGGCCGGATGGCAGCTCCAGGACTTGTAGCAGCATCAATACTCTCTCCCTTTCCATCTGCAAGTCTGGTGTTGGGAGCAAGGAGGGCGGGTGAGGGAGGTAGAGACAAGTAGGTGGTGGTGGCAAGGGCCCCTCATTTCTATTGACTGGACTTGGTTCTGTCTCGTGCTGGTGGTTTTCTTGGGCTACTGTCAGCTTCACCTCAGCCCCCTACCGGAGGAGGAGCTTATTCCTTTGACCCATATGTGATAAATGTCCTCAAAGCCCCTCTGGAGGTGGGCCGTCTTCTCACTTGACCGAGGTAACTGTACAGTTCCTGTCCTTCCTTCAACTTCACGTTCCTTCTCAAGGAGCCCAAAGAATCTCTATGGAACTCTTCCGTAGCCTGAGGGTTTGCAAACCTAGAGCAGCGTGGCAGCTCTGACCCTCTTCTATGCAGGCACCCACTCCACATCCACATCGAGGTCCCTTCATCCTCTGCTGACACAGGCTTCTCTTGCTGACCTCTTGACTTCAGAGACCTGTAGACAGAAGCAGATAGTAGTTTCTACGTACACAGACTGCCCCAAATTCTATGGGATCTATTTCCTGCTCTCTCTAGGCTTTGTTCATACTCCACTGAAGTAACAATACCAGAAGGACCTATTAAGACTCTTGGTCTCAGATTGATTGTGTTGAAGCCACCCATTCCATTCCCCCAAGCCTGGGAGAAACCACCAGGAGAAGAGGAAGAAGTCCCCTGCTACACTGTTTCCCCTTAAGGTCAAAATTTCACTCCCCCTTCCTCAGACTTTTTACATAAACTTGTGGGTGAAGAAAGTGGTTGATACAATAAATCCAGAATTTGGCAGTGTTGGTCAGTAGAATATGGGAGAATTTAGTACCCTTTGTTCTCAGCTTTGGGCCTTGCCAGCAATTCCAGAATAACAGGAAAATCCTTACTGAATATCACACCCTCATTCATAAGACATGGGTCTTTTTAAAGTAATCTCTACACCCAACATCGGGCTCAAACTTACAACCTGAAGATCGAGTCACATGCTCTACTGACTGAGCCAGCCAGGCACCCAGTAGGATATGGGTCTTTTAAACACTTTGGAAACGATCACATGCAACAACTTTGCAACACTGTTACGTTCCATTCTAAAATAAATCCCACAATGGGAAACTTTGTACTATTTTCATAGGCTTTAGTATATATGATGATAGCACAAACAAAAGCTGGTCTCAATTTTAAGGGAAGCTTTTTTTCAAGAGAAATTTATAATACATTCAAACATATTAAACAGAAAAAACAACTTCAGAAATCGGGAAAACAGAAAATTTCCTTACTATAAAACTGTTGTCTGACTCAATACAGTGCTTATTGTTACTTCAGTATTCAAATTACTTTATTGTCCACAAAGGTGACACTACCAAAAATATCATCTTGTGTAGGTTTAGGGTTGGCCTCAGAGGGGTCTAGATCTTTATAGCAGTGGTTCTTAAACTTCAGTCTGCATGCATTGGAGGCCCCTGGTAGGCTTATTAAAACCCTAATTGCTGGACCCAACTAGCCCATTTCTGACCCTATTGGGTGGTGTCTGAGAACCTGCATTGCTAACAAGTCCCCAGTGATATCAATGCTTCTGGTCTGGGGATCAAACTTAAGAGAACCACTGCCTAGCACATCATTTTCTAGCTCAGGGCAGCCCAGGGGCCCAACCCAGCCTTTCTTTATACAGTTTTATTGTAACATATACACTCATTTGTCTACAGATTGTCTATGGCTGCTTTCTTGGTACAACTGCAGAGTTGGATAGCTGCAACAAACTTTATGGCCTGCAAAGCCTTTCTTTTCTTTTCTTTTTTATCCCTTCCAGAATATTCACTGTTGGTGAATTTGGTCCTTTATAGGAAAAGTTTGCTGATCTCTGGTCTAGAGTATCATCTTCTAGAGCAAAGCCAACTCTGCCACACAGCCTTCTCGACCGGGCAAAGGATTATAGAAGGTAAACATACAAGTGTAGCTGCTACCACAACTAGGGCTTATTTCATTAATTATGCAATTTGATTAAATTGTATAATGGCTTTGAGTCTGTATGGGTCATTTGTAGCTATATTCAAACTTTAAAAAATATTTGCTCAAAACCTTGCTTTATATTCAGGTCATTATTTTAATTCCTTTAATGAAAAAAAAATAAATAAATGTCTCCATACACCTTGGAAGATAAACAACTGTTGCAATTATCTGTGTTATCCAGTAATGAGGGAAACTGGAAGGAGGCAGCATTTACTATAGTGGAGTTTACTTCTCATACAGAGATATACATACAAGGAAAAAAATCTCATAAAGTCAAAATTATGCTTGGAAATCTAAGTCACCTTTAAAATACAGTATACAACATTTACAGACCATGTTGGAGGCAGACTCTCAATATGTCCAACACAGCCAATTTCTCCTTCAGCATTCAAACAGATGGCTCATTCTTTGGGTGAGCACCAGATGAAGTAGTTGGCTTGTATCTGAGGCCATCTTGTATAAAAAAAACTTATCTTTAAACACTAGAATCACACCCTGCACAGTGAGAAGCTCACACCACAGGGCTTAGAGAATCTATGACCAATTGAGGGAGCTATAGATTAACATCTCCCTTTTAACACTTAGTCTGTGGGAATGCTCGAGAGAAATGGTAGGTGGAAGTGACTGCATGACTTAAATTCTCAGCCCTTCTCTATTACTCCTCTCTGGACTCAGTTGGAGTCATAAAATTTGAATGTATGGGACTCACCTATGTCCATGAAGATACTGATAATGAAATAAAGGTCTTGTAATGGTGGTTCATATCCCACTCTTGATACCAATTTCTGTATTGCTCTGCTCGAAATAAGAAACATCCTAGGTAAATTTAAAGGAGAAAGATTTAAGATATATCAGCATCAATAACTAGTACTTTGACATTGTTGTCTCTGTTTATGTCAGGGCTTGTTAACTCCAAAAAATCCAAGCTGAAAGTTGACTGGGTCATTTCATCACTATCCATCATCTCTGACCCCAAAGAATCATGGTCATGGCTGAGTCAAAACCATAGCGAAATGAAAACACACAGACAAAGTTGCTTTGGGCTACTTTCCTCTGACAAAGGCAACTTACAGGCTGTCACTTTAAGGCTCCATCCTTATTTAGTACAAATACCAAATACCAAGCCCTTCCAAATGATCACCAAGATCATTTGAAGGCATTATTCATATTTTCACGGTAAGTTCACGAGATTATTTTTAGAAAGACAAATCCTTGGTTAAAAATTTTTAAAGATTCTTAAGTCCAAGTTTACTCACATTCCAAATAAAATTAAAATGCTACATAAGCTGAGCCTCATACAAATCACGTGAAGCTAGATATTAACCTTATTTTGCATATGAGAAACTGAAGAGCACAAATAAGTCACACAGGTTTTAAGCTAGAGCTGGACCCTGACCTGAGGTTTCCTGGGATTCTAAGGAGCTGACTTAGTAGGTTTCTTAATAGGTAAATCAAGAGCTAATGTTGGTATAATCGTAATGGGAACATGAAAAGAATATAAATTAATTACTATACAATAATTTTAGCTGTTGAATGTAGAAGTCCAAAATAGGAAAAGGTAAAACAGTCTGTGACAGGAGTAACAGCCTCAGGAAATGTAAATTTTCAGCAATTTGTATTACAGGGCTAGTGAAAATGAGGAATGCCATCGCTATCTTGCTGAAATAGGATAACGAAAGTTTAAGAGGTTCTTATTCCTAGTAATGCTACCTTTCCCGTAGCATATTATTCATCTCTGGTCAAGTGAACGAACTGTACCCTCTTCCTGTTTTGTATAAAAAATCAGAAATATAGTTTAAGGACGCTTGGGTTCATTAGAAAAAATGGATGGCTTAAACTTTTCAGAATTAATGTAAGAAATTCAGTATACTTACTCATAAATCACTATTCATTTGATTCAGTTTAGTAAAATGTAATTGTTTCTTAAATTTAGTGCTTATGAGTGGAGATTGTTTAGACTGACCAACCCACCTTCCATCAGAACATCAGTCAATGATTAAAGAAACATCTCCTCATTAAGGATGTAGGACTTCATGATCTCCTAATAGCTACCATAATTTCACTTTGAGATTTAATGAACATATAACATAAAAAAATCTTCTACCTCAATTTGTTTTAAAATCTGAGCCCACTACTGATTCATACTAAAAAAAAGTTGTGTAATATCTAAGCATACGTATTTTATTAGTCAGCAAAATTATGGTAGTATTGGTTGTCTGAATTCAATATATTTATTATCCATGATTCTCTGCTTGCAGTTTGGACAGAACAACTGTCAACCTTTAGGACTGTCCTGAGCGCTGGAGGACACATAGCATCTTCGCCTCCAGCACACTAAGTGCCAATAAATAGTTCACTACAACCACAGCAGCGTGTGGGCATGATCCGTGAATGTGTCCCCAGATAGTGTGGAAACACCACCACTCCCTTCATCCCCTTCAGGAACCATGGTGATGGGCATTACAGCAGACGGGGATGAGGTCTGGCAAAGCTAGTCAGTTCTTTGGAACAGAGTTTTACGAAACTAGATAGGTTCAATGTAAGATTTAGCTGGGAAATTTTCCTAAAATAACTCATAACGTGACTTGTTGACTAATTTATTACTGAGCTAGATTTGATTCTGGAATGATACATCCATATGATATTATAAATAATGAATACTGTTTATTCAACTAGACACTTGTGTTCGTTTAGGCCAAAGAAGGGTTCTGAGTCAGAACTCTAAACTCAGGAACTGTACTGCTTTCTTCCTTCCTTGGCTGCTACCTACCCCTAAGTACCATAGGTACTTTGTCCTCTTTTTAACCTGAAAGAGTAAAATATAATGGAAAATCAGGGTATCTCTATTTATTAATTTCACATACCATCCAAGATTTTTCTTTAAAGCAATTCAGATTTATTAATATTATGGATTTTATAGAGCACATTTATATATCAGTTTCAGACTTACTTTTGTTATGCCTCTACATATCACAAAGATATTACACTATAAAGCCTTTGCACAATTATGTATATGAACGCCAAACCAGAAAGCCTTCACTGAATTAAGACCACACGGAGGAAACTTTATTACGATGCATGTGAACCTGAAATCTAAAAAGTGGGTACAGAATCAATCTGCTTTCACACTTTTTCTTCAGTAATTCATCTGCCAAAAAAAAAAAGGGGGAGGGAGGCAAATTTTCATTAAAAATTTTTCAAGTCTTCCAATCGAAACCACTCCTTAGCACACAGCCACAGAATCTGTTTTATATAAGCTTGTTTTGAAAATAACCCAAAATATCCATTACATTTGTGTATTTGTTATAAGCTGCCATGTACATTATAGATCCCTGTCTACATATGCACATAAACTGGCTATATTTACTGTAATAATGAGATTGCCTCTATAGAGTAAATGATACAATAAATGTTCAACTGTTTTGAATGGTTGATTTCTATTTTATGGTCAGTGATAGGTCTTCATTGTTTTGAAAATGTAGGCAACTGAAATTAAATTGTCAATACCATTCCTCTATAGTAAGCACTAACAGGTGTGTTATACATGAATACATCCTATGCATTCCTCTGAATCAGGTGAAGAAAAATAATAGCCACAACTTGCTTAAAAAGTCATATAAAATAGCTGCCATTCTTGCTTCTAGTTTTGGATTAATATTTTTAATGTGGAGAATTTAGAAATATACAGGAAATGTGTGACTCGTAGACTAACATAATTCCATGTCTATATAATAGTCCGAGTTGTGATTTACAACAGATACCAAATACAATGCAAGCTTATTACAACTATCAAAGGCTTCTTCATCCTAAAGCATTTATGCTCTGAATTGCTGCTAGCTCTAAAATGTTTATATCCATTTTAAGTATTCATTTGCTTAAATCTAAGCTTTCTGCCCAGCAGCACCCTAAGAAATTTTCAAACTATATTCTTGACTTTTTAATATCTTTTTACTTTGATCATGGTCTAGATTGTAGATATCTGAAAAATCCAAACATTTTGGGGTATATGTATTGTTGAAATATTTCAAAACAGGTGATACTATTTGGGGCTAAAATAAAGGAAAATTTCAAGGTCAAGAAACTCCAAATCTGTAAAAAATATCTGCGATCAAATAGGTGGCATGATGCCTGATGTTATTTAGGGAGGCCAAAGTTTCCTGACATTTATAACAGGAAACACACGAAATGTAAGTGCAAGCGCAAAATGAGCACACTAAAAACCATAAAAGGCCACGTAACTGGTAGAATACCAACGATATTCAACTAACAATTAAAATTTTTGTATAAAGGCTTTCACTGTCAATATCACTGTGTGTAGTTTCTGAAACCAATTGGTTGGAGAAAGGGGGCTTTCCTAAACTGAGCAAAAGCTTAAGATAACAGCTCTCGTGAGATCCTTAGATCTTTTTTGTTTTTAAATAAAAAACCAAACACTTCCCAACTCATTTTATTATTTTTTTTTTAATATTTTTTATTTATTTCTAGGAGAGAGAGAGAGAGGCAGCGTGAGTAGGGGAGGGTCAGAGAGAGAGGGAGACACAGACTCTGAAACAGGCTCCAGGCTCTGAGCTGTCATCACAGAGCCCGATGTGGGGCTCGAACCCATGAACCGTGAGATCATGACCTGAGCTGAAGTCGGACGCTTAACGGACTAAGCCACCCAGGCGCCCCGAGATCCTTAGATCTTAAAAGTACAAAACAAAGTCCTGACTCTCAGTCTTGACTGCATATTAGCATTACTACAAAGTTGTTTAAACAAACAACCCCTCCCCCCCCCAAAAAAAAATCCACCCGTGCCCTTGCTCTGTCCCCAGAGACTCTGGTTCAAGTGTTTGGAGTGGGGACACAAACAACCCTATTTATTACAAGCATGCAGGTGACCCTAATGTACAGACAGGGCTGAGACCCACTCAACTAGAGCAAAAATCAAATGAAGGAATCAGCGAAACCTGACAGTAATCTTGGAGTCTGACGATCTGTCATGGAAATAAGCTCACCCATGCCAATATAAAAAATACAAGTGACTACTTTATTAAGACTGAGCACATTCTCATTCCGATTGAATTTTAAATAGACAAGAGAAAACCATTCCTCCTGCCTTTTTAATCCACGAGCAATGTAAGAAGCGTAATATATAGAGTGCCTTACCGGCCAGCCGAGGAAGCCTCCATTCGGCTGTACAGAAGGACTCGGAGGAGCTCACCTCTCGAAGGCCAGTCCTCCCACCCCTAACCTGGATCTACTTGCCCCTGAGCCTATTCTACACGGAATGTTCTCTCTTCTGTATCTCAGCTCTCTCTTGAATCCATCCCACTAATATTTGAACATTTTAGACTCTTCCGTCTTAAAACACACGCCTGGATCCCTGACATTCTTGCCCGTGAGCCCTCAGCACCGCTCATCAAGGCAGCTGCTAAGTCCTGGGCATCTCCTCTCACAACGAAGTCGCCAGGTCCTTCTTTGGAACTGCCTAAAACAGTCTCTCAGACAGGTCGCCTCTCTGCATGCCTACTGACACTTCCCCAATTCCAAGCCTCCTTTGGCCCTGTATGCAGGTATGGAACAGCCTCATAACCCGGTGTTCTCAGAGTCACTCTTCTCCTCCCAGATCCCTTCTCAGCATGATAGCCAAAGTCAGCTCACTTTGGCAAATTACCAAACCCAAGCTTCAGTTTCGTCACATGTAACATCCATTTTCCCCCGCAGACTTTGCGGGATTATTGTAAAGATCAAATGAACACTAGACAAGAGCAGTTAGCAACCGCAAGACACACAGGGTAGCTATTATATTTATGAATGTACAAATACTTAACAGCAAGTCAACTACTTACTTTAGGGGAGGAAATATAATATTCAGGGACTAAATCAAAAGGCCTATGGAGTCATGTTCATCTTGCCCCCACCAACATTCGAGGCTCACTTTAGACTCCACACACCAGCCTCGTAAAGTTCCCTGTGTCTGGAACGCTTTCCTTGCCCCGCTTGGCCAGCGAACTCCTGCTCATCATTCACGTTTTGACATAAATCTTAATTTCTTCAAGAAACCTGATTCCCCCACCTCCCTTCCCCACAGCGTCAGGTCTCCCAAACCTGGCTTGTCAGACATCACATTTGTCATTATGTGTTCCACGACCTTCCTTCCCACTAGCCTGCGTGCCTCACGAAGGGGGTCTGTGGTCCCCCGAATAAGCACCATGACTGGCAGAATATCGGTTTCCAAATACTTAGTAACTGAATTTAATGACATAACTGGATAACACCCGCAAGTGCCCCACTCTGATAGAGGCCCGGGGCTCCCTTCATCAGGAGTGGGTGATTGCTGGCATTTGCTTGGTCTCCTTTGAGCTTCACCAACCAGAAACACTGCACCATAAAGAGTAAGGAATGTACCTTCAGTTTTTATTTCTAATATGACTTTTTGAATATAAAAGCTAGATGTCTAATGTAACTTCTGTGGAGGTTAACAACAGCTGCTTGGCACCATAAAGATCTTCACAAGTGTCTTGAAACATTGTTTAATCTCCTTGAGCTAGTTTTCTACTGAATTTAACTTAAACTAGTTCTCTTTTCTCAGTGGGACCAGAAAGACTTGGTTTTGTTCCCACTAGATACATCTTGCTTTAATGCGATGGGTCACATGAATCTAATCTTTTTTTTACATAAATTAAATTTTTTTAATGTTTCATTTATTTCTGAGAGAGAGAGAGAGAGAGAGAGAGAGAGAGAGAGAGAGAGAGACAGCATGAGCAGGGGAGGGTCAGAGAGGGAGACATAGAATCTGAAGCAGCTCCAGGATCTGAGCTGTCGGCACAGAGCCCGACGCGGGGCTCGAACCCACGAACCATGAGATCGTGACCTGAGCCAAAGTCGGATGTTTAACCGACTGAGCCACCCAGGCGTCCCTACATGAATTTTTAAAAAACAGATTTCTGGGGCACATGGGTGGCTCAGTCAGTTGAGCGTCCGACTTTGGCTCAGGTCACGATCTCGCGGCTCGTGGGTTCGAGCCCCGCGTCGGGCTCTGTGCTGACAGCTCAGAGCCTGGAGCTGCTTCAGATCCTGTATCCCCCTCTCTCTCTCTCACCTTCCCCTGCTCACGCTGTCTGTCTCTCTCTCTCTCAAAAATAAATAAATAAACATTAAAAAAAAACAAGATTTCTGTTGCTTGGAGGAACGTGATAAATTAAATTTTTCTTAAAATACTATGCATTTCCTCTGACATTCTGCACTGAGAGGTAATTATTCCTTTTTCCCTTGAAGTTTCTCTCTTAAAACTGAGTCCTGACTTCTGGCTCAACACTTTCACAGGCTGCCTTCGGGTTTTCATCTACATTTGCTTTAGCCCTATTTATTTTATCCATTGGAAAGGTCGGTATGGCTGATTTTTCATGTATTTCCTCCCTTCTTCCATCTCCATTCATTTCCTAGTACCATTTTTGACTCATTCGATGGTACTTTCTTACCTATCAGTCTTCTAATTCACTTAAGCCAAAATTCCTTTTTTCTACCAATTGCGAAATCACTTCTTCCTCTGAAAGTATTTTTTTTTTTGCCCAATTTTTGCTTCTACTGGATAACTCAAAATATTTGTTTGCACAAACTACACTGTGCAGTACTGTGGGAAATACTGTTGCAATGTGTGAACTGCAAATATTTTCATTAAGGAAATGGACAAATCTCTTTACTATGTTAAAGGACTTTTATAAATCAGGTAAAAAAACAACAACACTCAAATCTCCTCTCTCCTCTGCCGACATATGAAAAAAGGGCAGTTCGAGGAAAAAATGCTCAAATAGCTCTTACATATATAAAAAAGCTCTTATTCAGAAGCTACCCCCTTTTTTTAGACCACAAAGGGCTAACTATAGCATAATACAGCTGGAGAGGCTAAAGGGAAACAGGTACTCCTATCATTCTGGTGAGAGAAGAAACTAGAATAATCTCTAAGGAGGCAGGAGCTATAAAAATTAAAGGCACTCTACAGGCTGTAATGTAGCAATTCTACATCTAGAAATCCACTCTACAGATATACTAAATACAGCACTGTCAGTAATAGCAAAGGATTACAATCAAAACAATGGTTAAGTAAATGATGGAACATTAATATGAAGCTGTGAAAAAAGAAAGCTGCTTTATATGAGGATATAGAATAATTTCTAAGACACACTTCAAAAGAAAAATCTAAGGTGCATGGCATTTTATTACATGTATGGGGAAAAAATTGAAAAAGTTGGTAAACTTACAGAATATGCTTGGAGGGCACAGAGATTAAGTAACAATGGCTATCCCTGGTGGGAACCAGAAGACGGTGGTTCAAAGCAAGAGAGTCACTTTTCACTTAGATACCTATTTTGAACACTTTAAAAATTTACAGTGTTGGAGCACCTGGCTTGTTCAGTAGGCTGAGTGTCCAACTTTGGCTCAGGTCATAATCTCACAGTCTGTGAGTTCAAGCCCCACCTTGGGCTCTGCGCTCACAGCTCAGAGCCCAGAGCCTTCCAATTCAGTCTCCCTCTCTCTTTGCCCCTCCCTGGCTCATGCTCTGTCTCTCAAAATTAAATGAACATTAAAAAGAAAAATTTAAAGTGTTGGGGCGCCTGGGTGGCTCAGCAGGTTGAGCATACAACTTCAGCTCAGGTCATGGTCTCACGGTTCGTAACCTCGAGCACTGCATCAGGCTCGCCACGGTCTGCCTGGAGCCTGCTTGGGACCCTCGGTCTCCCTCTCTCTCTGCCGCCCACCCCACCCAAAATAAATTAACAGAAAAATATTTTTTAAAGTAAAAAGCAAAATTTCAAAAGGTAGCAGTCCCTGGCTGGCTCAGTTGGTAGAACATATGACTCTTCATCTCAGGGTCATGAAGCTTACTTTAAAAAAAAAAAAAAAAGGATAAAAATTAAAGTGTATACTAGTTACCAACTGAAACAGGTTAAAAACAAGTAAGAATAAATCGAAATGTTTAGTTATTGGTACTACTTATGTTGCAAGATGACAGTGGACTTGTTTTCTTTATGTATTTCTTTATGCATATTGAGCTTTTTTGTAATAAATATTTTAAAGGAGATGGTAGTATAAAGGGGAAAATTCCATGGGGCGCCTGGGTGGATGAGTTGGTTAAGGCTCCAACTCCTGGTTTTGGCTCAGGTCATGATCTCATGGTTCATGAGTTTGAGCCCCACAACAGGCTCTATGCTGACAAAGCCTGCTTGGGATTCTCTCTCTCCCCAGCTCATGCTGTCTCTGTCTCTCTCAAAATAAATAAAAACTTAATAAAAAAAAAAAAAAAAGAAAAAGAGGGGCGCCTGGGTGGCTTAGTCGGTTGAGCGTCCGACTTTCGCTCAGGTCATGATCTCGCGGTTCGTGGGTTCGGGCCCCGCGTCGGGCTCTGTGCTGACAGCTCAGAGCCTGGAGCCCGTTTCAGAGTCTGTGACTCCCTCTCTCTCTGACCCTCCTCTGCTCACGCTGTCTCTCTCTCTCTCCCCTAGAAATAAAAACATTAAAAAAAATTTTTTTTAATAAAATAAAAAGAAAAAGAAAAAAAAAGAAAAAGGAGGAAATTCCAAATAAGAAAGAGTCTAAGCAAAGATCTAGGGGGTAGGATGAATACAAAATACTTAGATTTTAATAAAGAAGCAAGACTAACAAAAGCAGACGTTTTCTAACAGTGAGATAAACAACTATGCCTCACATACAGAAAATCTGTAATAACGCTATAGAACGTATGAAAGACTAGGTTGGTAGCTCAACTGCCATGGCATTTTTGGTGCTAGGCCAAACAGTCTAAACCAAGCCAGGGGCCTCTGTTGACATTACAGCAGAAAATGACAAAAATACTGTTAAGATTAATCTGATAGGTTAGAAGATGGCTACTCTAGAAGTAAAAGTAGCCAATTTCTGGCCCAAACATGTTTTCTGTGGCACAAGTAGTATTTTAAGGTCTGGAACAGCCACTACACAAAGTCCAGAAGTTGGGCATTCACTGTGAAAGGCCCACAATCCACATGACAAACAGAGATTCCCTCTGTAGACACCAGCTGCTCTGCATGTTCCCTTTGTTGCGGCCTCTCTCATGGCTGTCATGCACCTCACTTTTCTGGCGTCCAGCGTTTCCGACTGCTAACAGGCGTCCAAGTCCCCTGACGTGACTCAGGCACGAGAGTATGGAAGCGAATGATGGCGGGAGAGCAGGACCCAAGAGGCAGGCTGCCCGGTGGGGGTATAGCCTCGGGAGCCACACTTTCTGGGTTGGAGTCCTGGCCTCACCACTGACCAGCGCTGTCACCTGGGATGAGTGAGCTACTCTCTCTCTGCTTCACTTTCCCCATCTGTAACAGGATGACACCCAAGCACCTCCCTCCTAATTGTTAAGGGTTAAAGGACTAAATATTTATTATAAAGCACTTAGCACAGTGGCGGACACAGAATTAGGTTTCAAATCTACTGCATGGCTACCATGAGCCTGGTTCTAAGAGAAACAAAAATTCACAGACTTTACATCTGATAGGGATAGTAGAGGGAAGGGGAGTTCTCAAAGATGACGGTACAATGGAGATTTAGAAGTTATCCACACAAAGGTAACAGAAATCCTGGCAACAGATGAATTCTTCAAGGGACATTTAGATAAAAATCACAGAGCTGTGAACTAACCCTCAAAAGCTACCCTCTGATTACATGAAGATGAGGAGCCAGAGTGTGTCTGGAAAGGTACAGTGTCTCACCTGGGGTTCAGGACAAGAAGAGAACCGTGTCAAACTTCCAGAATCAATAACTCCATCTCACAATTTTAAGATTTTAGTTTCAAGTTACTCCTGATGATCTCACTGCATTCAAATAATGACTCTATAAATAGTAGAATTATCTCCATTCCACCAATGAAGAAAAAACTCAAATTATTACATAAACTACAGTAAGTTATAAAACAGGAAATCAAAACAATAAATGAATAAATAACTTTCTCCTATGACAATTCTATAAGAATCAGGATAAGCTGACCTTAACTTCACTGAACAGAGTAAATATTATGCTTCTCTCCCACTTTTGTGAAAAATAAAAACCAAATGAAGAAACTTGCTAATCGTAACCAAAAAATCAGAAACATGCCAGAAAAGGAAAAATAAACAACCTGACATTTTTCCTATTTGCCCAACAGGTTAATCAGTATCTTTCATTAATTTTTACGATTCAAAAAAATGTCTTATTCATCCTCCTAATAATATACTTGAGCACTTACTACTAGCCAGGTACAGCTAGGGACTTTCTCAGTTCTCAGAGCTAAGCTGAGGAGAAACACTGGTAAATATAATTTCGACCTAATGTGATAAACGCTACACTGAGGGCATGTACAGGAGCGGCTGATCCAGACCCAGGAGAGGCAGGTGCGGCCCTGGGAAGGACAGGAACGGAAGATGCGTGGGAATTAGTCGGGCGGTGCCAGGCTCAAGAGTAACCAATAATGCTTCCATCACAAAAATGCAATATCCATTCAATTTTAATTGTGTTACCTTTTATTATTTTACACTGTATTTCAAAAAACAAAAAATGCCGTTACAGTTGCCTTAACTGCTCTATAAGACCTGGAATAAAAGAATACTTAGAACACACAGACATCAAGCTGTTAATACCTACTTGTACTGAACCACTGCTACCAAAGAGATGGAGTTTTTTAAATAGGCAGATGTGTGGCAATGCAAAATAAAATACAAACTTGTCAAAACAGAACAGTAAACTTTGTTTTAATGGCTATAGAAAGGAGGTGGTTTTGTTTTCGTTTTTCAACACATCTGGTTCTGGCAGCAAGCTGTATTATGCACTGAAAGCAATTCATGCCCTGAAAGCTTCTATTTGCAGTTGTGCGCGTCATCTGAATCCGAGCCCAGACACATGAAAAGATCATTCTTAATACCCTCGATACCCCTCCCTCCAGAAGGTCGTGAACTCAAGATTCCTGTTGAAGTATTTTACAATAATTTTTTTTTTCCAGTGAAACTGGATGCTTTTCATTTTCTCTAAAAGAGAAGCAATGAAAATGCAAGGAAACCCTCCAGGGTCCAATCTTCACTTCACATTCTCCCCAAGTAGTAAAATAGCAGCTCTACATGTTGATGAAAATGAATTTCAATTTCTCCACATTAGTTTCTTAATCATATGAGCCCTAAAATTTATCTATATTTCCAAAAAGAAAATTTTAGGTGCCAAATATTTCAGGAATTTAATAAAGCATTATGTATGTAATTAGCTCTTATCTACTAAAAAATATATATATGTATAAATATTTATATTTATTTCTCTTACCTTCACTGAAGTTCTTTTTTTCTGGCTGGACATGAGAAACAAGATTAAGTGGACCAATGCTGGCTTTATGTCTTTATAAGCAATAACTTGAGTTTTTCATTCAGTACGACTGCATGTTCATAATAAATTCACAAAAGGCAATACAAGGACACACCTACTGAACAGGCATCGGCCAAGCAAGTCAGGTGTCAAGGTTAGACTCTTATCTACCCAGTGGGACTGCGGCATTATCCGCATCCAACTTTTGTTTTCTTTTTTCAAGTCAGTTCTTTACTTTTTTTTTTTTTTTTTCCCCTAGCAAGGGACGGTATATGACCACAAAGTCAGGCCGAGAGACCATTCACAGTTGCTCCCAATAGTATGCCGGACGGAACTCGTAAAGAGCTGATATAAACCAAACTAAACAGTAGTTAACTGGAACCACAGCTGGTCACATTCAGTCTCCAACAGCACTTTGCTAATACACAGGTTTCCTCCTTCTTGACTGATTTTGTGTTAGTCTTATTAAAACTACCACAAATAAGATCGCAAAGCTTTTGTCGACTTGTATTTTTAGAGGACTGCTACTTTCATATGAATATACCTTAATTCACCAAATGTCTTCATAGTAATGTTCTTTCTATAAACATGGTTGGCAAAATAAAAAAGGCACAAGCGGGGGATAACGGGAAGCATGTTCAACTTTCAGTGAAGAGTACCAAAGCAAGTATGTTTCATGAGGAAAAGCAGCGAAAAATATTCAGTGATTCATGCACAACTTGAGCTAAACAACAAAAAAAACCAAAAAACAAAAACCTTCTCTTCAGATAGGTCCTGAGGCTTGAGGAGAAAACAAGTTTTCCTAATCATGTGCTTCACGTAAGATAAAATGTAAAGCTGCACGTATACATGTTTGGTTTAACGGTGGACCCATGTTTTTTCAAAAAGTGAGGCAACTGAAGGAAAACAAAACCAAAGCACCTTCCTAAACACAGCAACTGCAGCTGTAGCCTCTGTCCTTTTTACCTCCGAGTGGGGCAAAACGCCCAATAAAATGTAGAAGGCAGCAAACGCAATCAGGTAATCTAAAAACTTTTCATGATAACTTATTGTAAATTGCACTTGACAGTTCACCACAATGGAAAACTGGCCCCTTGTTGGTGCACACAGTCTTTGAGACGCACACTGAAGTCACCAGTAAAAAGATCTGGACAGGAAGTTTGCGGCTGTGCTCAGCCAGCTGGCCCCACCCTCCGGGTGCGAGCCGACCCGGGACACTGCTTTGTCCTGTTCTTTTGTGGGGCTCTCATCCTCAGGCAGGTAGTCAGGCAGTTCTGTGTTCTGTTCTACTTCCACAGGCGTGTCCTGGAATGGGACCAGCATCTGATAAAGAGAACATGGCAAGAGTTACAAAATCAACCTGACCGACACAGATCCATGTCCTAAGTTAAAGGTCAACTACACTCCTCATTCTAATCGTTGTAACTATTCTCAGTGGCTGTATTCCTTTAAAAATGCCCCTCTTACATGAAGAAAGGCCCAACGGCTGAGCACGGCATTAGGCAGAAATATACTTGAAAATTAAGATGCTCTTCTCCTGAGGCTCTAGGAATAAATGTGCAACCTGTGTATTTAAAGAAAACAGGAGCTCTTTGGGGCGCCTGGGTGGCTTAGTCGGTTAAGCGTCTGACTTTCGCTTAGGTCATGATCTCGCGGTTCGTGGGTTCGAGCCCCGCGTCGGGCTCTGTGCGGACTGCCAGCTCAGAGCCTGGAGCCTGTTTCAGTCTGTGACTCCCTCTCTCTCTGACCCTCTCCTGCTCACGCTGTCTCTCTCTNGCCAGCTCAGAGCCTGGAGCCTGTTTCAGTCTGTGATTCCCTCTCTCTCTGACCCTCCCCTGCTCACGCTGTCTCTCTCTCTCTCTCCTAGAAATAAATAAAAAAAACATTAAAAAAAAAAATAAAGAAAACAGGAGCTCTTCACAGTATCTGGCTACTGTGGGCCCCGCAGGGCCACTGAACCTTTCTATAGAAACACAAATAAGCTAAGGGGATACAGATTTGTTCTCCCTATCACAAAGATGGTGGTCAAAGTATCAAGACGCAAAAATTTTCACTGTATTTACCTACCCAATGGTGGAAATAGACATTTATACTTTGGACTGACAAAACTAATTAAGGTTAGAAAGGGGCTCCTGGGTGAGCATCTGACTCTTGATTCTGGCTCAGGTCATGATCCCAGGGTCTTGGGATCATGTGCTGAGTATGGAGCCTGATGAAGATTCTCTCTCTCTCTTTGTCCCTCTCCCCACTCACTCCCTCTAAAATAATATAACATACCTAAAATAAAACCAACACGAGGAGCCTCTATATCCCTTATTTCTATATAAAATTAGGAAGACCTATCCACTGAGATAGACTCTGAAATCCATAAAACGTAAGAACAGAGCTTGAAGTCTACAACAGATCTCTATGAAAGAGCTATTAGCCAAGAAACAGTAAAATAATTTGACCCAATCACATTCCTATATATTTGGCAACTAACAGCCTGAAAATACTAGCAATTTGCCAGCCATAAGGAATAATCAAGAATCAGGTATAAAGAAAACTAAATAAAGCATTTACCTCTTCTCCACTTTCACTTTTCACAACTTGCTGAGCCTTCATAACCTTGGTTGATGCTATTGCTGATGCCAAAGCCTAGGCCAGAATGAAAGGGAACAAATTTGAACACGTGATTTGTTCACCTATTAACCTCAAGCACATTCAGCCATTTATTTAAAATACTAACCTCCGCTTTCAAATCTGAACGGATCCGCACCACGCATCTCTGAACAGCCATTTGAAAAGTAAAGCTAATAACACCTTTAATTTTTAACAAAGCTTCTTCACAGAGATTTCTCCGAGACTGAAAAGGTAAAAGCAAATTATTATTACAATTGATAGAATGTTAAATAAATCAACTCAAACCACACTGAATTAGTCATTATTGGGGGTAGAAGGGGGAGCAAATGTTCCGATTTCAGTTTTACCATCTCATACATGAGGGCATGCTGGGGGTGCTGTTTAGTCAAGCTTACTAACTTTTATAAGATCAACAGAATAGTAATTTCTGCTGGAATTTTTTAAGCTTCATTACTAATACTTAGTTTTAATCCTTTTTATCAGAAATAAGTTAGCCAGTCTTAACTTCTATCTTAATTCAAATGGAATGGAAGAACAGTACAGAAAAAAAATTGCTAGGGGTGAGGAAGAGGGGAAGGGGGGTGATGGGCATGGAGGAAGGCACTTGTTGGGATGGGCACTAGGTGTTATATGGAAACCAACTTGATAATAAACTATGAGAGAAAAAAAAGAAAAAGAAAAAAATGCTGAAAAGCAGAGGTTCCTCTAGCTCAAAGGTAAGCAAATTACAGTCAGCCAGCTGTTTTTACAAATAAAGTTTTACTGGGACACAGCCACATACATTTTTTACATAAATGAGGCTAGTTTCATACTATAGCAGAGTCAGTAGTTATAACAGAGACCATATGCACTACCAAACCTAAAATATTTACTATCTGGCCCTTTAACGAAAAGATTTGCTGACCCCTGCTCTTAAAGGATAAATTCTAATGGACTGATGCCACAATTAGTGACTGTTCAGTACCTGAGTGACCACTTCTTTTTTTTTTTTTTTTTTTTTAATATTTTTTATTTATTTCTAGGAGAGAGAGAGACAACGTGAGCAGGGGAGGGTCAGATAGAGAGAGGGATGCAGAGACTGAAACCGGCTCCAGGCTCTGAGCTGGCAGTCATCACAGAGCACGACGCGGGGCTCGAACCCACGAACCGTGAGATCATGACCTAAGCAAAAGTCGGACGCTTAACCGACTAAGCCACCCAGGTGCCCCCTGAGTGACCACTTCTTAAAGCACCCGGTATTTATAAACATCACTGCACCCTTCCCTTACGGCATTGTCAGTGGTCACCACTACGTTCTCAGGGTTGTTAATATACTCTTCTTAGGTCTCATTTTCCTCTGACAACACAACACAACATACCCTTCAATACACTATTAATAATACACTACTTTAATAAACTAGTAATAATACACTATTACACTTTACATTTAATACACTATTAATAATACACTACTTACACCATTGATTATTCCATCTGTCTCATCTTACCTCCTAGGTCCAGTGCCTAAAACTAAGTGATTTTCTTTGTACTTCATCCCTCAGTAGACTATTTTCATCACCTCAGTCATCATTACCATGGATAAAAGGGATGTATATCTCCAATATGACTTTATTTTCATTTGTTATCAGATATATCCAGTTGGATATCAAGTGGTCATCTCAAACACAAGATCCAAAGCAAAAATGGGTTAAAAAGTAACTACAGTTTCACTATATCCCTCCCTCCACCTCTGGTTCACATATCATTATCACCGTCTCTACATTTTCCTGTGTCTGTACTGAGACCAGGTTCTGATTCAGTACTTCTGAGGGGACAAGAATCTGCAACTGACCCAAAGTCTCTGGCTCACCCTGAGAAACACTGTCTTCAAATTACTTGATTCACTCTTTTCTTCACTGGATATAATCAGTCTTCAACCTTATTCCCACAATCCTTCACGAGAACTCCTACCATTGCTTACCTCTCTCCTAGCAATACAGGAGGGTGCGTAAGCCAACGTGCTACTATTTCATTTTAGATTTTAGCCATCACTTTCATACAATATATTGGCCTATATTTTTGGGTGTGCTGTGTTGAGTTCTATTATTTGGTCTGTGCTAGCTTTCAAAAGCAACTATACTATCCTTAGTCACTAATATTAAACAGATGGTTGGGCACCTGGATGGCTCAGTCGGTTAAGTGTCTGACTTCAGCTCATGTCCTGATCTCACAGGTCCTGAGTTCAAGCCCCACGCTGGGCTCTGTGCGGACAGCTTGGAGCCTGCTTCAGATGCTGTGTCTCCCTCTCTCCCCCTCCCCAACTTGTGTTCTCTCTCTCTCAAAAATAAAAAGAAACATTTTTTAAAAAATAACAAAATTAAACAGATTGGAGTGGTAGTATTTTATATATCTTGGTATCTTACATTTAATCAATTTACATTTACTGAGCTTGCTTTCTAGAAACTTTTCAGGATCTTGTGGTCCCAGTTTCAGTAAGATAGTTGTGACCTATCTTATTTGGCAATGCTATGGATAATACGCATATGGAGAACTTCCCTGAGTCTTATTTACTGAATCCTAAATCCTGAGGCCTAAATGCTGCAACAGCACAACTAGAAAAAGCTGCGGAATATCTACTGTAACCTACCAGCCATAGCTAGAGAGATAAGTGGTAATCTACCAGTTGCTACCACTAAATATGTCAAGTTGTATGACTTATCACTGCTCAAAATAACTTCAGGAAGACTTCTAAATCCAGTCAAGATGGAGAAACAGGGACTGGAATTAGCCTTCAGGGTTAAACAACTACAAAGAGACAAAATAAAACGAATGGAACAATGATTTCCAGACAGTGGAAAACAAACATCCCTGAAAGAAGGAAAATAAATGCAGTGAACTCCACAAGACATCACGTATCGCCTAGAAAGTCTCCGGGCTCTAACGTAGGAAGGACAACTCCGGGAGCACCATTGGCCCCTTCAGTTAAGGACACAGCTGAAAATTCAGGGAGGTCAAGGCAACAATAATTCACAGGACAAAGCAGAGGAGAGAGTGGAGATGTGCAGAGAGGGTCCACCGAGAGAAGCATGCACTCGACATCTGCAGTGGGCTCCCCTCAGGTTTCTGCTGAACGACGATCTGTACACGCAGATGAACATAAACCTGAGGCTGAATAAAGAACCAGGCTCACAAGGAATAGAAGGAACAGTTCTGCAGGCTCAGACCATGCTGGAAACATTTCATGTTCCCATCAGAGAGTACAAAACCTTTTATATACATGGAGTATGAACAAAGAGCCCAGAAGAGTACTGCCTCAGAAGTATAGCAAAATTATCCCTAGGATAAAGGGAGCTACGGTCCTACCTAACAAAGCTTAAAAAGGCAAGCCTCAAAAGATCTGTTTATAAATAACTCTGATCTAAAACAAATCTCCAGAATATTTTTAAAGGATGTGCATACAAATAAATATATGCTGTACCCAACAAAGTAAAATTTGCAATACGTGGCACCCAATCAAAAATGACCAAGAATGCAAAGAAGCAAAAAATTGTAACCTATGTTTAGAAGAGTCAATATATAATTACAAAAATCAATCTATAAAACACACTCAGAATGCACAGATGATTAAATTAGTACCTAAGGACATAAGGACATTCCACCCCTCTTTTATATTCAAGTAGATAAAGTATAAACATGCTATGGAGATATAAAAAAGACCCAAATCAAATTTCTCGAAATTTGTCTGTTAAAATAAATCTTAGCAAATACAGCAACAGAAACTATCCAAAATGAAACAGAGGGGGGAAAAAGGAATTAAAAACAAAATGAGCAGAGTATCAGTAACCTACGAGACTTCACATGGTTGAATATGTGTAACAGGAATCCTTGAAAGACCTAGGGGAAAAGGGGATAGAAAAAAATATTTGAAGAAATAATGGAAAAAATTGTCCAAATCTGCTGCATACAAAACCCAGACATCCAAGAAGCTAAATAAACATGAAGAAAATTATACCAAGGCACGTTATAAACAAACTGATCAAAAACAGCGATAAAAGAGAAACTCTTAGAAGCAGAAAGAGTGGAAAAAATATCTATGACATACAGGAGAACACAAATAATAGAATCCTAAATAGAAACAACGCAAGGAGGAAGACAGTGGAGCAATGCCTTGAAGTGCAGTTGAAGAAAGAAAAAGAAGAAGAAATCCTGTCACCTAGAATTTCACAACCACTGAAAATATCTTTCAAAAAAATAATAATAAAATAAGGACTCTCACAGACATACACAACTGAAGGAGTAAGGGGCACCTGAATGACTCAGTCGATTGAGCATCTGACTTCGGCTTGGGTCATGATCTCGCAGTTCATGAGTTCAAGCCCCATGTCAGGCTCTGTGCTGACAGTTCAGAGCCTGGAGCTGCTTCTGATTCTGTCTATCTGTCTCTCTCTGTTCCTCTCCCACTCATGCTCTGTCTCTCTCAAAAACAAATAAAAACAAAAAAAACCTGAAGGAGTTGGATTCCCAAGATCTGACTTTCTTTTTTTTTTCATTTATTTTTTTAAATTTACACCCAAGTTAGTTAGCATATAGTGCAACAGCGATTTCAGGAGCAGATTCCTTACTGCCCCTTGCCCATGTAGCCCATCCCCCCTCCCACAGCCCTCCAGTAAGCCTCCGTTTGTCCTCCATACTTAAGAGCTTATGTTTTGTCTCCTTCCCTTTTATATTTTTGCTTCCCTTCCCTTGTGTTCATCTGTTTTGTATCTTAAAGTCCTCATATGAGTGAAGTCATGTGATATTTGTCTTTCTCTGACTAACTTCACTTAGCATGACACCCTCTAGTTCCATCCACGTAGTGGCAAATGGCAAGATTTCATTCTTTCTGATTGCCGAGTAATCCTCCATTGTGTGTGCACCACATCTTCTTTATCCATTCATCCGTCGATGGGCATTTGGGCCCTTTCCATACGTGGGCTATTGTTTTTTGTTTTTTTTTAAACTTTTTTTTTTTAATTTTTTTTTTTTAATGTTTTATTTATTTCTAGGAGAGAGAGAGGGAGACAGTGTGCACAGGGGAGGGTCAGAGAGAGAGGGAGTCACAGACTGAAACAGGCCCCAGGCTCCGAGCTGGCAGTCAGCACAGAGCCTGACGCGGGGCTCGAACCCACGAACCGCGACATCATGACCTAAGTGAAAGTCGGACACTTAACCGACTAAGCCACCCAGGCGCCCCCATGGGCTACTGTTTATTGTTGATAGAGCTGCTGTAAACACTGGGGTGCATGGGCCCCTCTGGCACAGCGCTCCTGTATCCCTTGGATAAATACGTAGTAGTGCCATTGCTAGGTCGTAGGGTAGTTCTATTTTTAATTTTTTAAGGAACCTCCCTACTGTTTTCCAGAGCAGTTGCTCCAGTGTGCATTCCCACCAGCAGTGCAAAGAGAGCCTCTTTCTCCGCATCCTCGCCAACATCTGTCAGTGCCTGAGGTGTTCATGTCAGACATTCTGACAGGTGTGAAGTGGTTTAAGACCTGACTTTCAAAAATGAACAGAATAGCTGGGGCACCTGAGTGGTTCAGTGGGTTAAGCAACCAACTCTTGTCTTGATTTTGGCTCAGGTCATGATCTCACAGTTTGTGGGATCGGGCCCAGCATCAGGTTCTGTGCTGAAAACAGAGCCTGCTTGGGATTCTCTCTCTCCCTCTCTCTGCCACTTCCTCCTCTCTCTCTCTCTCAAGTAAATAAATAAACAAACAAATCTTAAAAAAACAGCATAGCTGGACAGAAAATGAGCAAGGAAAAGAAGACTTAATCAACAGTATAAACCAATTAAATGTAATAGACACTTAGAATACTCCCAACAACAGTATGTTGGTGCATATGGAACATTCCCCACGACAGACCATGAAACAAGACTCAGTAGGTCGAAAAAGATTGAGATCATACAATATGATCAAATCACATGAAATCAAATTAGAAATCAGTAACTGAAGTAAATTTGGAAAATTCAGAAATATATGGAAATTAAGTAACAAACTCCTAAATTACCAATGTCTCAAAGAAAAAAATCACACAAAAAATACTTTTGAGATGAATAAAATAAAACATCACATATAAAATCTTATGGGATAGAGAAAAAACAGTGAATGGACAAAAATTTCTAGCTGTAATAACTACATTAAAATAGAAGAAAGTTTTAAATCAATAACCTAAATTTCCATTCTAAGAAAGCCCAAAGCAAGCAGATGGAAAGAAACAATAAATATTAGAGCAGGGAAAAGAGAAACAGAAACAAGGGGGAGATATAGAAAAAAAAAAAAAAAACTGATGAAGCTAAAATTGGTTCTTTGAAAAAAAATCAACAAAACCGATGAACCTTTTAGCTAGACTGACCAAGAAAAAAAGAGAAAGAAAACTCAAATTACAAAAATCAGGAATAAAAGACAGGACATTATGATCAATCTGAAACAAAAGGAGTATAAGCAAATACTATGAACAACTGTATGTCAACACATTAGATAACCTCAAAGAAATGGGGAAATCCCTAGAAAAATAAAATTACCAAAACTGACCCAAGACAATAATGGAAGTTTGAGCAGACCTATAATAAGGGATTAAATTAATCACCAGAAAATAGCCCACAAAGAAAAGCTCCGGACAAATGGCTTCACTGGCTAACTCTACCAACTGTTTAATGAAGAATGAATAGCAATCTTTCAACAAAGTCATCAAAACACTTCCCAACTGGGGCGCCTGGGGGGCTCAATCAGTTGAGCCTCCCCCTTCGGCTCAGGTCATAATCTCACGGTTTGTGGGTTCGAGCCCCACGTCGGGCTCTGTGCGGACAGCTAGGTCAGAGCCTGGAGCCTGTTTCAGATTCTGTGTCTCCCTCTCTCTCTGACCCTCCCCTGCTCATGCTGTCTCTGTCTCTGTCTCTCTCTCAGAAATAAATAAAACATTAAAAAAAAAAACCAAACACTTCCCAACTCATTTTATTAAGTATTTTTTTAAAAATATTTTTTATTTATTTCTAGGCGAGAGAGAGAGACAGCGTGAGCAGGGGAGGGTCAGAGAGAGAGGGAGATACAGACTCTGAAATTGGCTCCAGGCTCTGAGCTGGCAGTCAGCACAGAGCGCGACGTGGGGCTCGAACCCACGAACCGCAAGATCATGACCTAAGCGAAAGTCGGATGCTTAACCGACTAAGCCACCCAGGCGCCCCAGTATTAAGTATTTTTTTAATGTTTATTTAATTAGAGGGGCACCTGGGTGGCTCAGTCGGTTAAGTGTCCGACTTCGGCTCAGGTCATAATCTCGTGGTTCTTGGGTTTGAGCCGCGCATTGGGTTCTGTGCTGACAGCTCAGAGCCTGAAGCCTGTCTTTGAATTCTGGGTCTCCCTCTCTCTCTGACCCTCCCCTGCTCATGCTGTCTCTCTCAAAAATAAATAAAATGTTAAAAAAAAAAAAAAAAAAGTGAAATGTTTAACTGCCTGAGCTACCCAGGTGCTCCATTTATTTTCTTTTTAATGTCTACAGGATCTGTATTGATGTTTTCTCTCTCTTATTTCTGGTATCAATGATTTGTGACTTCTTTTATTCCTGATCAGTTTGGCTACATTTTATCAAAGTTTACTGATCATGTCAAAGAATCAACTTTAGATTTCATTAGTTTTTCTCTATTTTTCATTTCACTGATTTGTTTCTTCTCTTCTGCTTAATTCAGATTTAATTTGCTTTTTCTTTTTTTCTAGATTCTTAAGGTAGAAACTTAAGTCACTGGGACCTTTTCTCTCTTATATATAAATAATTAGACATTTGGTGCTAATGAATTACACTCTAAACAATGCTTTGGTGGCTTCCCACAAATTTTGGTATTACATTTTCCTTTTTTATTCAGTTCAAAATGTTTTGTAATTTCTCTTTTGATTTCCTCATTGACTCATGGATTACTTTAGAAATAAATTATTTAGGGGCGCCTGAGTGGCTCAGTTGGTTAAGCCTCTGACTTTGGCTCAGGTCATGATCTCACAGTTTGTGGGTTCGAGCCCCGTGTCAGGCTCTGTGCTGACAGGTGGATCAGAGCCTGGAGCCTGTCTTTGGATTCTGTGACTCCCTTTCTCTCTGACCCTCCCTGCTCATGCTGTCTTTCTCTCTCTCAAAAATAAATAAAACATTAAAAAACTTATTTAAAAAAAAAAAAGAAATTATTTAGTTTCCAAAATATTTCGGGGATTTCCCAAATACCTTTCTCTTACTAATTTCTAATTTGCTTTTCATTGTGTTCAGAAAACATACTTTGCATAGTTCTTTTAAATTTATTAATACTTGTTTTATGGCCCACAATAAGGTCTACCTCGGTAAATGTTCCATGTGTATGTGAAAAGAATATAGATATTATCTTGTGGATAGTATGGATACCATCTTGTGGATGTATCTATTTCTTCTTGTTACTTCCTCTGATTAACTGACTCCTTTAGAACACAATGGCCCTCTAGAACTTATTCTTCAAGATGGCTGAAAAAATAAGGAAGTAAATAAATAAATAAATGATAAAAAGATCGCTGGCAGGTGTCAGTGAAGAAACTATTTACAGTAGTTCCCCCACCTTATCCTCAGGAGATCTGTTCCAAGACCCTCAGGGGATACTGAAACCGCAGAAAAAACCAAAGCCTATATATATACTGCGTTTTTCTCCTGTTTATTCATACGGTAAGTTTACTTATAAATTAGACATGGGGCGCTGGGCAGCTCAGTCAGTTGAGTGTCTAACTGGCTCAAGTCATGATCTTGCAGTTCCTGAGTTGGGTCCCACACTGGACTCTGCTGTCAGTGCAGAGACCACTTCAGATCCTCTGTCCCTTCTATCTCTGCCCCTCCCCTACTCATGCTCACTTGCTCGCTCGCTCTCTCTCAAAAATAAACATTTAAAAAAGAAATAAATCAGGCACAGTAAGAGATTAACAATAACAGAACAACTATAACAACACAATATAATAAAAGGTATCTGAATGTGATCTCTCTCTAAACATCTGGTGTCATTACACTCACCCTCATCTTGTAACGATGAGAGGTAATAAAATGCCCACGGGATGAGATGGAGGGAAGTTAATGACATCGGGACTGTGACACGGCCTCAGGCCACTGCCGACCTCATGATATGGCAGGAGGAGGATCATCTTATGAACCGTGTGTTTATAAAAGTCTTACCGTATCATCAAGACCATCTATGTGCAAAACCACTGTTTTGGCACGTTTGTTTGTAGTTCCCAGAAAAAACTGCGCTTTCCTTCTACGTGAATTCATGTCGCTGCAGCTATCGCCACCTGCCACACTGGAAGACTGGAGAAGGTCATAGATTTCAGAAGCCAGCAGTTTTGTCTCTCCCGGAGTTGTGGTCCTTGAAAAGAAACGCATGTAAATTAATAAACCAGTTCCATCACTTCTATCGATTCTGTAACTTTATTCAACGTTGCAGAGGCCTGTTTTCTTCATTCTGACGTTTCATTCAATGTAAAGGAAATATCTGTGAATCCTAGAATAATCAACAACATTGAAAAAGCATTTAGTTGATAATAAGACCTTTTAATTTTGTTTTAAATCCATGGTTTACTGAGATTCAAAACTCATCACTATAATAGTATAAAAAGCACATTCAGGGGCACCTGGGTGGTTCAGTTTGTTGAGCGTCCAACTTCAGCTCAGGTCATGATCTCACAGTTTGTGAGTTCGAGCCCCACGTCGGGCTCTCTGCTGACAGCTCAGAGCCTGGAGCCTGCTTCAGATTCTGTGTCTCCCTCTCTCTCACCCTCCCCTGCTCACACTCTCTCTCTCTCTCTTTCTCGCTCAGAAGTAAATAAAACATTAAACATTTTAATAAAAAAAGTTAAAATAATAAATAAAAATTTTTCAAATAAAAAACTAAAAGCACATTTAATCAAAATCATTAAGCAGGAAATCAACTAAAAAGACTAGGATAGAACCTGTCCCTGGATTAATACTAATATAATCTGAAGGTCCTCTGACCTTCAAGAAAGTAAAACACATAAACAAACAAAAAGAGCAAACAAATTAGGAAACGATCATTCATATGAGTTATTACAAAAAAGAGATTTAAGAAATTCAAACTGCTTCTTAATTTACATTTTCTACATATCTTTTACAAAACATGAATATAAGACCACAAGTAAAAACAAAAGTTTTTATTCTTAAACTTTTATTTATTTTTATTTTTTTTTAATGTTTTTTTTTTTTTTTTTTTTACAAATAGTTTATTGTCAAATTAGTTTCTACATAACACTCAGTGCTCATCCCCAAAGTGCCCTCCTCCATGCCCATCCCCACCTCCCCCCCACATCCATCAGTCCTCAGTTTTTGTCAGCATTCAAGAGTCTCTCATGGTTTGCCTCTCTCCCTTTCCCCCACCATTTCCGCCCTTATTCTCCCCCTTGTTCCTCCGTCAAGTTCCTCCTAATCCTCCTATACGTGCAAACATATGATATTTGTCCTTCTCTGCCTGACTTATTTCGCTCAGCATAACACCCTCAAGGTCCATCCATGTTGCTACACATGGCCAGATTTCATTGTTTCTCATTGCCATGTAGTATTCCATGGTATAGATAAACCACATCTTCTTGATCCATTCATCTGTTGATGGACACTTAGGCTCTTTCCATGTTTTAGCTATTGTGGAGAGTGCTGCTATGAACATTGGGGTACATGTGCTCCTATGCCTCAGCATTTCTGTATCCCTTGGGTAAATTCCTAGCAGTGCTATTGCTGGGTCATAGGGGAGTTCTATTGTTAGTTTCCTGAGGAACCTCCACACTGTTTTCCAGAGGGGCTGTACCAGTTTACATTCCCACCAACAGTGTAGGAGGGTGCCCGTTTCTCCACATCCTCGCCAGCATCTAGAGTTCTCTGATTTGCTCATTTTAGCCACTCTGACTGGCGTGAGGTGGTATCTCAGTGTGGTTTTGATTTGTATTTCCCTGATGAGGAGGGATGCTGAGCATCGTTTCATGTGTCTGTTGGCCATCTGGATGTCCTCTTTGGAGAAGTGTCTGTTCATGTCTTCTGCCCATTTCTTCACTGGGTTGTTTGTTTTTTCGGGCGTGTAGTTTGGTGAGTTCCCTATAGATTCTGGATATTAACCCTTTATCTGATATGTCATTTGCAACTATCTTTTCCCATTCCGTTGGTTGCCTATTAATTTTCTGGGTGGTTTCCTTGGCTGTGCAGAAGCTAACTTTTATTTATTTTTAACGTTTCTTTTTGAAAGAGAGAAAATGCAGGCACACAGGGGAGGAGTCAGGGGAGGAGGGGAGAGAGAATGCAAAGAACTCGAAGATGGGGGGCTCGAACTCCCGAATCGTGAGATCACGACCTGAGCCAAAGTCGATGCTAACTGACCGAGCCACCCAGGTGCCCCTCCATTCATACACTTTCAAATCCTACTATAGGTCCTCAAGTAAACATCCTGTGCCATGCTGTCCAAAACACCTGCTGCACTGAAAGAACACTGTCCACTCACCACATGTGGCTACTGACCAACCAAAATTTAAAAAATGATTATTTACTTTGAATCAAATTGAAATCTCCATGTGTGGCAAGTGAGTACCATACAGGACAGCTCAGATCTAACACTTATTAATTAGCTGAATAAACAGTCCGTACACAGAACTGTAAGAAATGACCCTCATTTCACTTATAGATAAGCTCAATTAAGTCCAAACCTTATAACATACACTCAAGGCCTTTAAATCTGTCCCCATTTAGTTCTGCCAATATCAGCTCATTTTGTCTTTTTATGAATACCTTTTATAGATGCCTTTTCCTCAACCAACAGATGTTTCCCTAGATCGTAAGCTTTTTAATTCTTCTTCCTTCCTTGAAGGCTCAACCTCAACCACCATCTTCTCTGTGAAGCTTCCTCACCCCAACAATCCATTCCTCCTCCTATATTTAAAGTACTTTGATTATACTTATACTATTGATTTCAATTTTCTGATTTTTTCTCTTCAAGAATACGGATGTATTATTCTTTCTGTACCTTCCACAGAGCCTCACAAAACTTTTTGCCATCTGTTTACTCAATGAGCAAGATCACTTCAATTTCCAAAATTCAGACTATAAACCATCTAGCTATACAGAGCTTCAATTCCAGGGGTACTAATCTGGCAATTTTCCAGGCACTCAATTTACTATACCAGGTGCTTTTCTGGGCTACCGTTGACCACAGAGATCAATTACTTTGAATGATTTTGGGTGTGTATTGCAAGAAGCCATCAAAAAGACTATTTTGAAGGGGGGAAATGCCTCAGCACTTTTCTGATAACTGTTTCAGAGTCCTGAAAAGGTCACTACAGTTCTGAGATATTTAAAATACTAGCCAACCAAAAGTTGTAGAATATGAGGACAGTGGTTAGATACTCATGAATATAAGAGGAAAAAAACAACAACAATGTTTTTGCTACCCCTTTCCACCACCAATATTGTTTTTAAATGTTTGCATCAAATAAAAAAAGAATCATCAAACAGAAGATTCAGCTAATGATCTTACTATAAAAATTTTGCAACACGTAAACATTATCTCAAAAACTTTGTTTCCAGATGAACCAACAGTGACATAAAATATTAAAACACAATAACATCAAATTATTATCTTCCTGTTTTACAGAATAACAACTGTAAAAATAGTTCTAAACCACATGGGGTTACTCACCCCTTTGACAATCTGGTGTAAAATTAGAGAACGTTTCACAAAAAATGCAAATATAAACATTTTCTACATCAATTTCAGTGAGTTTATATACCCACCCAAGATACCCATCTTACATCAAGAACAGAGATGGCTTAACATTTTCTTTTAAAGCTGATCTAGGGGCGCCTGGGTGGCTCAGTCAGTTAAGCGTCTGACTTCAGCTCAGGTCATGATCTCATGATTTGTGGGTTCAAGCCCCGCATTGGGCTCTGTGCTGACAGCTCAGAGCCTAGAGCCTGTTTTGAATTCTGTGTCTCCCTCTCTCTCTGACTCTCCCCTGCTAACGCTGCCTCTCTCTCTCAGAAATAAATAAAAATATATATATTTTGAAAAATGATCTGAAATTGGAGAGGGTAGAATAGGAGAACAGCAATGTAATGATCCATCCAATGTTTGAAAAATTTCAATAAAATGGAAATTACTGGTGAGAATACAACTGGTAATATTTGGAAGAAATAAAAAGACACAAAAATATCTATATTCTTTGACTCTGTAAATTCTATTGGAACTTGTTACTTGTAAATAAAAGTAATGCAAAACACAAAAAAAGCCTTTTATATAGTTAGGCAAAGAAGTGTTAGGGGCGCCTGGGTGGCTCAGTTGGTTGAGCCTCTGACTCTTGATGCTGGATCCGGTCATAATCCTAGGGTCATGGGATGGGGCCTCCATACTAAGCATGGAGCCTGCTTGGGATTCTCTCTCTCACCCTCTCCCCATCTCCCTGCCTCATTCTCACTTGCTCTCTCTAAAATAAAAAAATGAATTTTTAAAATAATATTTATTTTGAGAAAGAGAGCATTAGGGAGGGGCAGAGAGAGAATCCCAGGCAGGCGCCCTGCTATAAGCACAGAGCCCAATGCAGGGCTTGAACTGACAAACTAGAAGATCATGACCTAAGCCAAAATCAAGAGTCAGATGTCTAACCAACTGAGTCACCCAGACACCCCTAAATCAAAATTTAAAACAGAAGTTTTACGACGTCTAGGTAGCTTAGTTAGTGAAGCATCTGACTTTGGTTCAGGTCATGATCTCACAGTTTATGAGCTCGAGCCCCACTCCGGGTGAACACAAGCCCCGCACTAGGGGAGGCCCCTTCTCTCTCTCCCTGCCCTCGCTTACTTGTGCTCTCTGAAACAAACAAGCTTTAGAACAGTGCTGAACAGCATTAACTCTCTGAGATGATGGAAATGTAGTAAACTAGTCAAATGGCTGTTAAATACTTGGAATATGGCTGATGCAAGTAAGAAAATGGTTTTTAAATTTAATTTTAATTTAAATTGCCACCTGTGGCTAATGCCTACTATGCTAGACAGAAGTTTTACAAATAAAGGGAAGATTACCTCTGCTGCCAACTTCTTTAAGCTAACTCCTTTTCCTGATTATTCCTCCCGTAAGTCTGACAAACCATTTCTCTAACACCTTTTTTGATTGAGGTCCTGTTAAAGAAATTATCTCTACAAAAACTATAAGTGACGATTTTCTAAATTCTCCAAAGGATGGCATAGAGCCAGAACCGTTCTAAATTCACAGGGAAGAAGATGATCTGTATATCTACTGGATTCCTTAGGGCTTTGCAGCTTAATTCTCTCATAAACCTGTATTACCGGTTTCCACATTAGCAACAGAGTGAGGAAAGA